CTTTGATTGTTTTGTCTTGTCTTCCTGCTTCCGCTCTGATTGGTCGTGGTGTGTTTCCTGCGCTCTGATTGGCTGTGGTGTGGTTCCTGTGCTCTGATTGGCCGGTGTGTGTTTCTTGCTCTCTGATTGGCCGGTGTGTGTTTCCTGTGCTCTGATTGGCCGGTGTGTTTCCTGCTCTCTGATTGGCCGGTGTGTGTTTCCTGCTCTCTGATTGGCCGGTGTGTGTTTCCTGCTCTCTGATTGGCCGGTGTGTGTTTCCTGCGTTCTGATTGGCTGTTGTGTGTTTCCTGCTCTCTGATTGGCCGGTGTGTGTTTCCTGTGCTCTGATTGGCCGGTGTGTTTCCTGCTCTCTGATTGGCTGGTGTGTGTTTCCTGTGCTCTGATTGGCCGGTGTGTTTCCTGCTCTCTGATTGGCCGGTCGTGTGTTTCCTGCTCTCTGATTGGCCGGTCGTGTGTTTCCTGCTCTCTGATTGGCCGGTGTGTGTTTCCTGCGTTCTGATTGGCCGGTCGTGTGTTTCCTGCTCTCTGATTGGCCGGTGTGTGTTTCCTGCTCTCTGATTGGCCGGTGGGGGTCAGCTGACAGTGTACCTGGGGAAGCGGGACTTCGTGGACCAGGTGGACGAGGTGGAACCCGTCGGTAAAAAACCTGAAAAATCTCCGAGATTTGAAATGAAAATGAAATCGACTAAAATCCTGAAAATGTGATTTTTGTTTCAGACGGAGTCGTTCTGATCGACCCGGAATATCTGAAAGAAAGAAAAGGTGAGGAAGAGGAAGAAGAGGAGAAGAGGAGTGACGTTTGTTCTCTGTTCTTGATTCTGTTCTTGATTCTGTTCTTGATTCTGTTCTGTTGTGTTCTAGTCTTCGTGTCTCTGACCTGTGCGTTCCGTTACGGTCGAGAGGATCTGGACGTTCTGGGCTTGACGTTCCGTAAAGATCTGTTCGTGGCCAGCGTCCAGGTGTTCCCCGAGGAGAACCCAGAGGAGAACCCCAAGGAGAAGCCAGAGGAGAACTCACAGAACCCGCAGAACCCGGAGGAGAACCCGCAGGAGAACCCGCAGAACCCAGAGGAGAACCCGCAGAACCGCGAGGAACGCCGCCCTCTGACCAGACTCCAGGAGAGACTCATTAAGAAGCTCGGAGAACACGCACACCCCTTCACCTTCCAGGTACTCTCACTGGTCTGGTCCTGGTCCTGGTCCTGGTCCTGGTCCTGGTCCTGGTCCTGGTCCTGGTTTTGACTCTTTCTGGTTCTTAGATCCCTCTGAACCTGCCCTGCTCCGTCACTCTGCAGCCGGGACCTGAGGACACAGGGAAGGTACGTCTGAAGACCTGGTTTAGTCCTGGTTTAGACCTGGTTTAGTCCTGGTTCGGTCCTGATTCAGTCCTGGTTCAGTCCTGGTTTAGTCCTGGTTTTGGTCTGGTTTTGTTTCAGGCCTGTGGTGTGGACTTTGAGGTGAAGGCGTTTTGTGCAGAAAATCCAGAGGAAAAGATCCACAAACGGTAAGTCCTCTGAACCTGATCAAGACCCGGACTCTGGTCCCTGGTCTGGTCTCTGGTCTGGTCTCTGGTCTGGTCTCTGGTCTGGTCTCTGGTCTGGTCTCTGGTCTAAACCTGGTCTTGATGTTGGTCTCAGGAACTCAGTCCGCCTGGTGATCCGTAAAGTCCAGTACGCTCCGGAGAAACCAGGACCTCAGCCCTCGGCCGAGACCACGCGCCTGTTCCTCATGTCGGACAAACCGCTGCACCTGGAGGCCTCGCTGGACAAGCAGGTCTGTGTGACGTTCTCCTCACGTTCTCCTGATGTTCTCCTGATGTTCTCATGATGTTCTCGTTATGTTCTTGTGACGTTCTCGTGACGTTCTCCTGATGTTCTCATGATGTTTCATGATTTTTCATGACGTTCTCATTCTCATGATGTTTTCATGGTTCTCTTATGATGTTCTTATGATATTTCGTGATGTTCTTGTGATGTTCTTGTGATGCTGTGATGTTCCTCAGGTTTATTATCACGGAGAACCCATCAGTGTGAACGTCCACGTGACCAACAACACCAACAAGACCGTGAGGAGGATGAAGATCTCAGGTCAGGACTAAACCAGGACTGAACCAGGACTAAACCAGGACTGAACCAGGACTAAACCAGGACTGAACCAGGACTAAACCAGGACAACAGGACTGAACCAGGACTAACCAGGACTAAACCAGGACTGAACCAGGACTAAACCAGGACTAAACCAGGACTGAACCAGGACTAAACCAGGACTAAACCAGGACTGAACCAGGACTAAACCAGGACTAAACCAGGACTGAACCAGGACTAAACCAGGACTAAACCAGGACTAAACCAGGACTGAACCAGGACTAACCAGGACTAAACTAGGACTGAAACCAGGACTAAACCAGGACTAAACCAGGACTGAACCAGGACTAAACCAGGACTAAACCAGGACTAAACCAGGACTGAACCAGGACTAAACCAGGACTAAACCAGGACTGAACCAGGACTAAACCAGAACCAGACTAAACCAGGACTAAACCAGGACTGAACCAGGACTGAACCAGGACTAACCAGGACTGAACCAGGACTAAACCAGGACTGAACCAGGACTACCAGGACTAAACCAGGACTAAACCAGGACTAAACCAGGACTAAACCAGGACTTAAACCAGGACTAAACCAGGACTAAACCAGGACTAAACCAGGACTGAACCAGGACTAAACCAGGACTGAACCAGGACTAAACCAGGACTAAACCAGGACTAAACCAGGACTTAAACCAGGACTAAACCAGGACTAAACCAGGACTTAAACCAGGACTAAACCAGGACTGAACCAGGACTAAACCAGGACTAAACCAGGACTAAACCAGGAAACCAGGACTAAACCAGGACTAAACCAGGACTAAACCAGGACTAAACCAGGACTAAACCAGGACTAAACCAGGACTAAACCAGGACTAAACCAGGACTAAACCAGGTCTAAGTGTTTCTCTGTTGTTGACAGTGCGACAGTTTGCAGACATCTGTTTGTTCAACACGGCTCAGTACAAGTGTCCTGTGGCCTCAGAGGAAACTGAGTGAGTCTGGGAGGGACCTGACACACATGAGGGCACCTGACACACATGAGAGCACCTGACACACATGAGGGCACCTGACACACATGAGAGCACCTGACACACATGAGAGCACCTGACACACATGAGGGCACCTGACACACACAGGGAGAGCACCTGACACACACAGGGAGAGCACCTGACACACATGAGAGCACCTGACACACATGAGGGCACCTGACACACATGAGAGCACCTGACACACATGAGAGCACCTGACACACATGAGGGCACCTGACACACATGAGAGCACCTGACACACATGAGAGCACCTGACACACATGAGGGCACCTGACACACACAGGAGAGCACCTGACACACATGAGGGCACCTGACACACATGAGGGCACCTGACAACACATGAGAGCACCTGACACACATGACACATGAGGCACCTGACACACATGAGAGCACCTGACACACATGAGACACACATGAGGGCACCTGACACACACACATGACACACACTGAGGCACCTGACACCACATGAGAGCACCTGACACACATGAGGGCACCTGACACACATGAGAGCACCTGACACACATGAGAGCACCTGACACACATGAGAGCACCTGACACACATGAGAGCACCTGACACACATGAGGGCACCTGACACACATGAGGGCACCTGACACACACAGGGAGAGCACCTGACACACATGAGGGCACCTGACACACATGAGGGCACCTGACACACATGAGGCACCTGACACACAGGGGGCACCTGACACACATGAGAGCACCTGACACACAGGGGGCACCTGACACACATGAGGGCACCTGACACACAGGGGGCACCTGACACACATGAGGGCACCTGACACACAGGGGCACCTGACACACATGAGAGCACCTGACACACATGAGAGCACCTGACACACATGAGGGCACCTGACACACATGAGGGCACCTGACACACAGGGGGCACCTGACACACATGAGGGCACCTGACACACAGGGCACCTGACACACATGAGGGCACCTGACACACAGGGGGCAACCTGAACACATGAGAGCACCTGACACACATGAGAGCACCTGACACACATGAGGGCACCTGACACACACAGGGAGAGCACCTGACACACATGAGGGCACCTGACACACAGGGGGCACCTGACACACATGAGAGCACCTGACACACATCTTCTTATATCTTTGTGTGTGTTGCAGTGACTCGGTGTATGACTCGGTGTATGACTTGGTGTATGACTCGGTGTATTTGTGTGTTGCAGTGACTCGGTGTATGACTCGGTGTATGACTCGGTGTATTTGTGTGTTGCAGTGACTCGGTGTATGACTCGGTGTATGATCGGTGTATATTGATCGGGTTATTTGGTGTCAGTGACTCGGTGTATGACTCGGTGTATGACTCGGTGTGTGTGTGCAGTGACTCGGTGTTGACTCGGTGTATGACTCGGTGTATTCGTGTGTTGCAGCGACTCAGTGTATGACTCGGTGTATGACTCGGTGTATTCGTGTGTTGCAGTGACTCGGTGTATGACTCGGTGTATGACTCGGTGTATTTGTGTGTTGCAGTGACTCGGTGTATGACTCGGTGTATGACTCGGTGTATGACTCGGTGTATTTGTGTGTTGCAGTGACTCGGTGGCCCCGAGCTCGACTCTGTGTAAAGTTTTTACTTTGACGCCGTTTTTGGCGAATAACCGCGAGAAACGAGGCCTCGCCCTCGACGGAAAACTCCGGCACGAAGACACCAACCTGGCCTCAAGTACTCTGTCAGTACTACTACTACTACTACTACTACTGCAGATTGTACTGTGAGTACTACAGTACTAGTACTTCACTGGGCTGTGCTGTTGCAGATTGCGAGACGGAGCCAACAAAGAGATTCTGGGAATCATCGTGTCGTACAGAGTCAA